CACCCTGATGACGGATTTAAAGATTTGATAGGTTTCATGGTCACCCATGGGGGAGAAAATGCTAAAATTCGTTAAAAAAATTGAAAATCATGCCACTAAAATGGTCCCTCGATCCTGAAAAGTTGACATTTCGGCGAACGGAGAGACACCTGACATCCTTTTTCTCCCTGTTACTTTACTCTAAGGATCATAATGACTCCTGTAAACCCCCATTAGGCAGCTGCTTTCAGGCTCCGTCATTCATTCGCCGGGCAGCAGCTCATCATGAACGCTCTGTTGTCTCTGAGTAAAGACACGTCCAGTCCTGCTGAGGGTTTTAATTGATCGTGTCCGAGCGTCTCCGAACAGCAGCAGACGATCCCGGTGGAAATGAAGGTCGACCGGCGCTGTACGTGACAGCCGAGCCGACGCCGACACAGATAATTAAAGTGTGCGACCGGATGTTTGATTTAATTTGAGGAGGATTCAGCCGACCTCGGTGTGTCCTGCTGAGTTGTCCGGTTAGGAGACGATAGAAAGTGGAGTAATGAAGCGAGGTCGAGCGAGGTAGAGGGGGGAATTAAAAACAGAGAGCGAGGCCGGCAGGAAGGTCTCGATGGGTGAAAGCAGCAGACAGGTGTATTTATGAGGCCTTTCAGGGAGCCTCCGTTAGCGATTCAGCTAATGTAGCTTCAGCGTTATCGACGCAGCTGACAGTGAAATATTATCACACTGCTATCCGCTCAGCTACAACATTATCAGCGGCATAATTAACTGAGATACGCCGCCGTGAAAAAGGCTGTCAATGCGTTATCAAGGTGGGTTGCCGGGTTTTCAGCAAGCTCTTACTCCACGAGCCTCAGGTCGAACTTTGTGATGAAGGTGTTTGTTTCTCATTCTGTGGGAAGTTACTGAGTCGGAACAAAAACAGGTGAAATTGTGATTTTTTTAATTTTTTTTTAGCAGAGCTGAGCCCATCTGTATCGCTGGCAGCATCTTTAGTGCTTTATTAACAGATCAGGCAGCAGATATGAGTGTATTATTAGCTCAGGTACAATAGCATGCTGACTGACACCGGCTGATGAGCAGCATTATCATCCTCTCTGCCCAAGTTAGAATTACCACACATCTGATGATCAAGCTTGAACTCGGTGACTCGATGAAATGGCTTTACAGTGGCTTTTCATTGAGATGCATCCCCAAACCTCGAATAACGAGTGTAACTGTTTGCCAACCCCTCTAAAATTAAACAATCCGCTCAGCTTTCCCACGACCAAAACTGCCCTGTATCCCACATGATTCTGTTTTCAGCACCAATAGTTGGTACATGAGATGAGATGGGAGAACATCAGGGAATCACCAGAAGTTAGCATCGCAAAGGAGACACCATCAGCTGAATGTAGTAATACCAATAAAGGGTGTTTGCTGGATTTTTGGGGCCAAAGTCGATACCAACTTCACAGAAAAATAAAATAAATCTGTAAACTGGGTGATTTTATATACATATATATAAACACATATTTTTTGTGAAGATCCCTCAAATTTGGTTATAAGTCAGGACTTGACAACAAACTTGAAAATTACAGTAAATTTCGCTTAAAATGTAATACTTATAAATGACGCCATATTTTGATGTTGCTCTTACTTTAACTGCAATGTTATCAATAGCTAGCACATACGGAAAGAATATTTTTCCAAAAAATGGTTTGATTAATACCAATAAATTTAGAACTGATTGTCCCATGAGGGAAGGTATAAGTTAATCTGCCTTTATTATTATTGATATTTAAACCCCTGACATAAAAATATTGTCAAATCACCAATCAGTGGGGGACGCTACGAGGAATTCAGGCTAGCTAGCCGATGCTGTAACTGAGAGTACAAAACACAATGGAGACGGAGCGAACTCTGCTGGACAAACTACGAGATGGTTCTGTTTCTAATGGCTCTCAAGCCTCTTTTTTCTGCATCATGTTCTGTAAAAATACACCTTTATATCAGAAACATGTTTACGGATATATCTTTGATACGCCGACATCAACAACAAACCAATAAATTGGTCAGACACTTTATAATTAACTTTACCAAGGCAAAAATAACTTTGCTAAACCACCTTGAACAAATGTCAGTAATATATACAGCACTTGTCTTGTACACAAATTATCATGAAGCTAAAATACAAGGCCGAACTGTGGCCGTAACCTTCAGACACACAGCTCCACTGAGGAATAAATCACAGCAACTTGCAGCATACGATCATCTGTGGTGTAACACAGCATGCAGATTGTAAAAATAACTGTAGCATGTCTTTGTAGATACCCGCACACACCCAGTCTATTATCACAGCCAACTTGCACGACCAAAAATGTGCATTAATCAACCAACCGACTCCAACCTGCAACCTTCCACTGCAGGACGCCTTTTTGTAACTCTGTGTTAAAGTCATGAGTTAATGCACCCTAAAGTTTTACACGCTGTGTTCACAGGTCCTGAGTGCATAGGAGGACCTGCATCCTGGTGTTTGAGTTCATGGACCAGTAATCACAGCTTATCACACACAATAAAACTTATTTATAACTCAGTCAAAACAGCTGCTTTGTTGCTTTTTGACACGACCCAACCGAGCCTGTCATGTTTTCCATGATCTCACCTGTAGGCTACCTGCTCATTAGGACTACACACATGCTTGGTTATGTGTTGTTAATGGTGATTACTACTTTATTAATAGTAATATTAGTAGTAATGTTTTTAATGCCTTCTCTTCTCAGATGACGTCCTTGGAGCAGGTCGGCGAGGAAGTGGTCGGTCAGGCTCGATGTCCCTTCGAGTCCGGTCAGTCCAACGTCGGACTATTTGCTGGTGAGTCGACTTCACCTCCTGGAACAAACACATAAGAGCTACTTATAAATATAACTGCAGCTGGATTAGTGATAGGGTGTTTTAAAGTGAAGCTTCACCAACAGATTTCAACCGTGATGGAGGATTACCATCTGATCAAAACACTTAACAACTCTTAAAGATATGAACTGCTTCCAACGCGTATTTATTACATCTTTTTAATTGACATAGAACATAAACTGTGTTTCTGGCTCAGCGGAGGCCATTTTTTTTGCACCACACATTTAACTTCCTCTTTCTCTCTGGACCAGACACACTGCATAACTTATATCCTAAATTGTTTCTTTTTTATGTAGCTACATACAAACTAATATTTACTAATGTGTATAAAGATTGATTCATCACATTCATGCAGGGATATGCTTGGCTTTAATAGAGATATACTTGTATACTTGGATGGAAGAAACAAGACATTTAGCAACGAAAGACACATTTTACTGCTCAATTTTAGAGCAAATAAACCCAAATAGCACCAATGACTCGTGTATATTATGGGGTTTTGCCTATAAGCTGAGAATAAAAGTGCTATTTACTCAGCATTATAGACATCTGGGTTCATCAAATGGTCCCAAGTTATAGGAAAATGCAGAATTTTTTGTCAAATAAGGAACGCAGAGTCATCATGTTTACTGTTATGTGTAGTCACCCCCTAAAGACGCACTCAGCCAGAAGAAACCCAGTTATATAGTCACAGTTTACCAAAGGCCAGTGCAATAAAACTGTACAACCTATTACTATAACATATGTCTACATTAGCTTATCTTTGAGGTTTCATTTTATTTTGCAGCTAGAAACGTATTCCAACAGACTGAAGTGCCAGGATTTGAATATTTTTAAACGTAATTCCTTCAATTTAGCACAACACTGGAGTTCAGTTTTACAGAACACACTGTTTGTTTCTCAGGTGGAGATTTCTACTCGGCCACCATGACGGACTTTCTGGCGAGCGACGCCGTCATCTACAGAAGTCTGGGAGACGGCCGACCCGTCCTCAGGACCGTCAAATACGACTCCAAGTGGCTCCGAGGTAAATTCACAAACTAAAGACCAGTGACAAATATATAGGGCTGCAGAATACTGGAAGAAAAGTGACAATATTTTATTTTTATGAACTACAGTGTTAAAAAAATGCAGGAATCCTCACTTATTTACTTCAATAACTCTGTTTAGGAAGCATTAAGTACAAGATGAATCATAGCTTTTCACCATGAAGACTTTCTTTTGAGTGTGAGCTGTTATTGTATGTCCATCCATATGTTAGTTATATGCTGTGGATGACGTTCAGATCACGTCATATGGAGCTTTGTGGTTCTGACTTAAATGATCAAACAAAGGATTCCTGTTTTCGGGCAACAGCTTCCTTTCTGTAGCTGAAACATTTCCATATAGCTGATTTCTTTCTGCTACCAAATCCTCCTTTACAGTGTTTCCCTCCTGCTCCTCGTTGGTTTCTCTGTGCACAAGTGAACCCTGCACGTCAACAAACTGTCTTTTAAAAAAAAAAAAGTTAAAGAAAACTCCGAGATCTCTTGACTCGGAGTACATGATGTTCTGTAAGTCTCTTGTAGATTAGTCGGGGAAAATGAGAACTGTGCAAATTTACTTTTTGCATCAAGCAGAAAAATAGCAAAATAATTCAATTTAGAATTTGGAATCACAGTGCTGATGCTGAAACAACACACATCATGCAGCCCTACTCGGAAAACAGTGAAGACTTCAGATCCTTTGTGTCTCCCTTTGCTCTCCTCTCGCAGACCTTTACTGTAGACACCATGATGTAAACCCGCTGAAATCTAAACTGAGACTTTGGTGTTGTATCCGTAATGACATTTCCAGTTAAATGTGCAGAAACACAGCTGAGCCCGAGGACCAAATAGCTGTCTGAACACCTTGTGGTCCGCACGATATGCTGGTTGTCGGTCTGTGAGGGCAGCAGGTTAAAAAAAAACATCTAGTTGAAAGGAAACATTTGGAAGATTGTGTTATTTCTCCACAACTCTGCAAAACAAGTCTTAGTTGAGTTTTATGTCGGCTTTGTGTAACAAAGTGGTGTTTCTGTTGTCAACACGAGCCTTCAAGCTTTGTTGAGTTCAGTAGCCAATCAGTGTATTTGGGTAATTTTGACAATGAAACCCCTAAACCCCAATGATGTCTTGACAAAACTGCAAAAATTACAACTTTGTTATAACCAGACACTGTCAGATATTGAACTTTCTGATGGTCTTGGAACTAGTCCTGTGCAACTTCTGGTTCTGTAAAGAGAAATGAATCAAATCTAAGCCTAAAATGGTGATATTTTATCAAGATTACATTATTTTACGTGTGTCATTTAAAAGTAGATGAAAAAGTAAACCTTGTCCATGAACAAGATTCTTTAGAAACTCTGAAGCTTTTAGTGGCACATCTGCAACAAACAGTCGTGAGAAAAATTGAGAGTTGTGTTTGGTGCAGGTTGTGTTTACACGGAGCAGAGAGGATTTAAGTACAGAAATTATTTACAACTGCATGGAGTGAAGTATCTACAGTATGTAGAGGCGACAGTTTAATGAATTTTTGGTTCTTCATTTTTTTGTTAATGAAATATTTAAAGAAATGTGACTTGTACTTTTCAGATTTTTCAGCATTATAACTGCATCATACTGCACAGATGACATTATTTCAAGTTCTCTTTACATCTAGACACTATAGTGCTGTTTCTGTAGAGGTGCAGGACTTTATATTGCAGTGAACAATGAGCCAACAGTGAATAAAAATGCGACAGTAGCAACGAAATCCCAGAAACTACTGGAGGCTTAGTGGCTTAAGTAACAGTTTTAGCTTCAAGTGCCGTCATTAGCTTCACTTTATATTAAATTTAATTCCTTGTCAATGGATTTCAATAAGAAATCCTCAGAGAATGCGTGATTACATTTGAAATTATATAGATTAAATGATTAGAACTCGAGTGGCCAATTTGCAACGTGCAGAACACCTATTAATTAATCTCAGCATCCAGCGGTCCTGCAGGACTTTAATGCATCTCCAGTCACTTCTGAATCCTGACGGCCGTCGTGTAAATATTCCTCACAGGCTGCAGTTTAATGAAGCACACAGGTCATAAGAAACTTCTTCTCTGTGGGGTTCTGAAAGGCATTTTGGGGAAGTTAGGAAGTCAGTAACCGTGAAGTAAAAGTGGGCGAAGCAGCCTTTTATCACCCAATAACTGCAGGGTTGTGTTGAGCAGCGCAGACTGAAGGTTACGGTGAAGGGAGATATGAGCAGAGACCGAAAATGGAGGGAGAAGATAATCGTATCCTTCTTTCTCTCTCTCTCTCTCTCTCTCTCTCTGCAGAGCCCCACTTTCTGCACGCCATCGACTATGGTAACTACGTCTACTTTTTCCTGAGTGAAATCGCAGTGGAGTACACCGCCCTGGGCAAGGTACCTGTGTGTGTCTGTGAATGTTTGCCTCTAATAGTAAAGGAGATGTTAAAACTGGAAAACTTTCCCAAGTCTGGTGCTCGTATGAAAACCGAAACCGGCTGTTTTCATTCCTCCTGGTCACACCGGCAGTGCAAGGTCAATTTCTAATATGTTTCCAGTGGAAGTGATGGGCATCACAAGTGGAAAACGGTTGCTTCTCCTAGTTGTTGGAGGAGGAGAAGCAGTAGAATGTTGTGATCATACAGTCGCGATACGATTCCACTCGAAGTTTGAAATGATTTTTTTTTTGGTGTGTAGTCTCCGGGTGGACTGGTCGATGGGTTGGTCGATGGGTTGCATCTGAGCAAATTCTCAATATTCCGTCTCCAGTGGTATTTTCCACAAGCTCTACATCAACAGCCTTCCAGGATTAATCCACTATTTTTGGCAGCAGGAAGAAAAGACTACTTGTGAAGACCCCCATGTTTTCACAACATTGAACTGGTCCAACCTAATAGAGACTGCCACGTCTGACTTATTTAACATTATTGACAAAAAATATAGAATTACTAACTGATGCCGCGTCAAAGAGAGACGAAAGAACACATTAAGAGACATAAAGTGACTCAAAATAAACACCAGAAGTCAAAAAAACTGCGACAAAGACACACAAAACCACCACAAAGACAGAATCAAATAAGTCGTTCTGGTGTCTAACAGTATGCTGCTACAGATACAATTTTGCAAACCTGTACTATTTGCACTGTATTCATACTTTGTAATTGTAATTTTGTATATATATATTGTTTGTTTGTTTTTGTGTTTGTGCAGGGGAGGTCTCTGGGAAATGGCGTTTCAGTTCCTCTGTATGTGCTGCACATGTAGAGATACTGGCCATAAAGTTCACTTTGACTAGAAAAAGATAAAACAGGAACACAAATAGATGCTAAATCAGTACAAACAGAGAAAAGATCACCTCTTAGATACACAGAATGGCTTCAAAGAGATGCAAAATGAACACAAATAAATGCAAACGGAGATAAAACAACCACAAAGAAACAAAGACTAAGAGCCACACAACAGCAACACAAACACACAAAACGATGATGATTCAGTGCCACGACACAAAGTGACCAGAAAGCAATTAAAAATTAGTAAAAGAGTCAAAGAATGAACACAAACAAGCACAAAACCAAAGAAACAGAGACATAACAAGATTGTCTTATTAGAAAAGAGATAAACTGAAAATTGTTTTATTAGAAAGACGTGCAAAATTACTCAGAACAAATACGAAGAGCAGCAAAAAGGCAGCACAAGTCCACAAAATGACCAGAAAGACAAACAAATGGGCCACAGAGAGTCCAAACAAACCGACATCATGTTGAAGAAGTCGCCGATGTGGCTGCATTTTGGTGAAATGGATGGAAAAAAAAGTCGAGTGAAACTTTGCTGACAGCGGTGTGAATATCACGACTCAACAACCAACATGACAATCGAAAAAGTAGCAACGATTCTAGTCCACCAAAATCTGGTTCTCTGGTCTACATGTTTTTGATTTATTACCCGTCCAGGATGTTGTCAGTGTCTAAGCTGTGAGATGTTTGTTGATAACAAACAGTTCGACATCCTGATAACAGTCCATTCCCATGTCTCCAGGTGGTGTTTTCTCGAGTTGCCCGGGTTTGTAAGAACGATAACGGAGGATCTCCACGAGTCCTGGAGAGATACTGGACTTCCTTCCTAAAGGTGACTTCACACTCCTGTTTAAATGAAGGAAAAATCCCTCAAGCCGCTCTGTTGTTTATTAATACTAATGTTGTGCTTTCAGGCTCGGTTGAACTGTTCGGTTCCTGGAGATTCCTTCTTCTACTTCGACGTTCTTCAGTCTCTCACCAACGTGCTGCAGATCAACCAGAGACCTGCGGTGGTCGGAGTCTTCACCACTCAGGCCAACAGGTACTCGACTCCCAGAGAGCTGGGAGGCCTTTATGTCGGAGCTTTTCAAGATCGATCTGCACTGTGAGATTAAGGGAGATTTTCAAAGTAAAGGGATTTTTTTTTTTAGAAACTGAAGACGTGTTGTAGAAAATATAAAAGTTGATGCTGTTGGAATGTTTTTTTTTTGGACAGTCGAGACGTGTTTTGGAACAGGAGGTCAGTGTTGTTTGTGAAAAGGAGGACTTCTTTAAAGTGAAAGATGGGTTTTAGAAATGTGTTCTGGCAGTGAACGGTGTTTTTTTTTTTTTTTTTTCAAAATGAGAATCTCTTTGGAGGGTAAAGAAACTTTTAGAAAGTGAGGCCATTGTTAGAATGGGGAGACATTTTTAATAGACGGGCATATTTGCAAAATGTATTCGTGGCAGCAATGGAAATTTTTAGAAAAGTTAGTGTTTGTAAGGGAAACATTTTTGTAGGGTTGAGACTTTTTCTTTTTTTTTTTAGAAATTGCTATTTTTATGGAGGACCTCTGGAAGGTGGGGAGATTATCAGACAGTGTTTATGGAAAAAGAAGACTTTTTTTTAAGTTAGCGCATTTGAAAACTGCAGATATTGTTTAAACGGATGGACATTGTCAAGAAGTGTGGTCATGTGGTGACTATTATTGGGATTTTGAGGTGTTTTTAAAAAGGCAATACCTCCTCCGGAAACCAACAATATCTTTGGAAGCGTTGCTAGAAAATGTGGATATTTTTGAATATTATGGACGTATTTTGTAAATTGCAGCTTTTCTGAACACTGATTGTTGTTTTGCAAAAGTGGATTAATGGAAATGAGGACCTTTTTAAAAAGTCAGGGGTCGACCGATACGTTGTTTTTGTCTGCGGCGTTACAGACAAGGAGCTGGATAACAGATATTTGGAACTGATTTATTCAAAGCAAAAATGAAAATCTTAGTGTGAAAATTCAGAGCAACACAAATGCCGCCACAACTTTGTTGGAACACCTGTTGGTATACCTGTTTTACATATTTTTAATTAAAAGAGAACCGAACATCCTGGCGTTGTGGATGGAACATCGCTTCAGATTACACAGGAGTGACTACAGACAGAGAGAGCTTAAGTTGCACATTTTTAAATTGATTTATGTTATTGGAATCAGCTAAAAAAAAAAAACTATAAAAATAATTGGAAAAATGCTGAATATTGGATCTGATAATCAGCCAAGCCAGTAATCAGTGGATCCCTTGACGTTTAGTCCAGTCATTACTCCAATCAGTGTCAGCTTAAAGGTTAAAGATTAAAGATTTCTGTTTAGATTAAGCTCAGTGATTATGTGTGAATGAGGGTCTTCACTGTTTTAGATCGACAAATCTTTTTCTGTAGACATAGAAATGCTTCTTCTTTTTTGCTTTTTTTCCTTTTGGTTCCACTCTCTTCCTCCTTATATCCCCCTCCTCGCGTTGTCTTCCCGTCTTTCTTCAAAGCCGTCGTAATACTCCAGGAGACTGTCCTCATTAGCTGCTGCTCAGCATGTGTTGATGACAGTCAGCAGCTCAGAGCTCTGTCCTCTCTCCACGACTCTCCAGTGAACTGACTTTATTTGTTTGCACTCAGTCTGGATTATATAAGGTTTGATTTGCTGTGTGGATTCTGCTGTGAGTCAGAAACTCAGCAGAACGCTCTGTGACCCGACGTTCGCTTCATTCCGGCTTTTCGGAGTCTCGGGACGGAGTTTGCTGGTTTTGCTTTCAGTTTTGATTGAAAGTTTGGTTTTACATTACTGAATGTTGTCTGAGCTTCCTTTAACCCTCTGAACCCCAGTTTTTTCTCTAGAAAATCGCAGAAACAATATACTTTGTCATACCCAGAAACTTTAAAAGCAGAAAGAATCGAGGGATACTTTCTGAAGGTCCTCGAACAAATCGTCTAAACCTTCAGGAAACTTAACCAAATCTAAGCTTAAAATTATGATATTTCTTTAAAATCACTTTATTTTGTATGTCTCATTTTAAAAGTCACCAAAAAATAAACCCTCTGCACCAGGTTCTGTAAAAAACAGAACAATAAATATGTTCTGCATGTTGCCACCAACAGTGAAAGGACAAAAATGTAGGTACTATACAGCTGAACTAGGATGAACTGCAGGCCGTATGTCGATGGAGAAGACAGGAAAAAAGCATTACAATATCTTTAGTTTGTAGAGTTTGTTTGTTTTTCCACTATTGGTAACACCTGTGGGCACTTGGAAAAATATTGTACATGTTGATTCTGGGTTTTTTTCCCCATTTTTGTGAAACAAGCAATCACAGAAATTACATTTTTGTTTTTCTTTCTTATGGCATTAAACTGTGTCATACATCACAGGAGACATTTTTGAGTTGACTCTACTTCTAGTCATGGTTGTGTAGTTTCTCTTATGTTGCGCTAAAACATTTGCCCATAGTAAGTAGAAATGTGAAATGGTTCAGAGGGTTAACTTATTCTCGCTCTGTCTTTCTCCAGCATCCCCGGCTCAGCAGTTTGTGCCTTCTACATGGACGACATCGAGAAAGTCTTCAACGGAAAGTTCAAGGAGCAGAGGACCAGCGACTCGTCCTGGACTCCGGTACCCGACGAACAGGTTCCCCGACCGAGGTGAGGCGGCAGACGGCGTTTAAAACCCGTTTCTGTCCGACATGGCTGGGAGCTATCAGGAGAAGAGATCTGAAGTTCTGTTTTGTTCTGATATCTCCAGGCCCGGTACTTGTGCAGGCGATGGTCCGGCGTCAGACTACAAGTCCTCAGTTCAGTTCCCGGACGAGACGCTGACCTTCATCAAGTCGTATCCTCTGATGGACGAAGCCGTTCCCTCCGTCAATGATCGACCCTGTTTCACCAGAACATCCAGCAGGTATTACACTCTCTTAGGATTAGAAGAACCTCTTGGACCTCTGGGGATATTTTAAGAACCCTGTTTGCTTTGGGGGTTTCTTAAGGGAGAAGTTTCATGAGGGACTTCTAATACCTCAAAAATGGGTACTAGAGGAGTTTCTTAGAGCTATGTGTTGGCCTAACTTTACACCTACATTTACACATTTTGATTTATTATATTTTTTAAAGCTCTATTCAACATTTTATCCAACATTTTGAAGTGTTGTTGTAATTGTGTTCATTGCAGAGAAGTCATTATTCCAAGTGTATCACAGTTCAGGAGGTTTTTTCCTTATCGCTAACAATTAAAAAACTCATTATTTTAGGTTAGAGAAATAAAGTATGAAGCTCTTTAAAACAACTCAAGAGGTTTTATTACAAGTATTTGGGCAAATTGGTATCTTGCCTGACTTTCTGCAGACAGATGTGTGGGTTTTTTAAAATTCCAACAATAATGCCTGCATTTCCATTTTATTTACGAGCATTTGCAGTGTTGTCCAAAGATTTTCTTATGTTTCTGGTTTAAAATATCTCACAATAATAAGAAAATAATAGGCTCAAAGTGGAACCTCGAACCCCTTGAGAAACCCCAAACTCTATGGGTGTAGAACTGTTTTATCCAACCAAACTGGACCCCAAAACCAAGAGTAGGGGTTCATCGACTGACCATGTTTAACTGTGGTGATGGTATAGAACCCCAAAGCGTTCCTCAAGGTTCTTGTATTTCTAGGAATGCACAGCAAACACGCAAATGGGGATAAATGTGCATGTTGGGATGTTTCAAATCCCAAAACTGACTCAAAGTAAGCAGAGAAGGAAGCTTGATGAACTATCGGCAAACACTGGCCAACATCTTGAACCAGAAATGTTTCCTTGACTTTGTTCCAATTAACAATTCAGTAACCATCCACTTTCCTGAGTGAATTTATTACGTCTGTGTCAGGAATGTGCTGATATTTAGTTGAGTCTATTCTTCCGTCTATCTGCTCAATGTTTCCTGCCAATGGCTGCCACACAACCCCAAAACAGAATACCTCCACCCCCATACTTAACCCAAAGCAAGCTGTTCTTTTCTTCAAACGCTGCTCCTTTTCTCATCCAAACCTGCTTTTGGTGATTGTGTCCAAAGAGCTCAGTTTGAATCTTGTTTCCAATATCACTCTGGCTGATCCAGATGTTCCAGATGTTGACTTTTAGTGATGAAATGACAGGAGAGGTTTCAGTCTGATGACTCCTTCCAGCACATTCTTCTCATTTGCGAATCTTTGCACATATGTGGAGCTTCACTTTGCTTCTCTGCCCGGCAAAAGTTTTCTTCCAGATCTATTCTTGACTCGCACTGTTCGTAATGAAATCTCAGACAGAAGAAACTGCAGGCTGGAAGCACTTTGATTTCTTTTTATAGCCTTCAGCTGCTTTGCAGGCATCAGTTAGCTTTATGTTCATATTCTCAGTTGGTTGTTTAGAGGAGCTCATTGTTGTTGAGCTTGAATACAAAGTTTGATGAATCTGAGTATTTGTCATCTGACCTGCCTTACAAGTCCTAATGAGTCATTTAACACTCTGAACTCCAAGCAGTTTCTGGGTGTTTTTTTTGGCTGCTGTCACATGTTTTTCTGTACAATCTTTAGTTATGTACCTCTGTGGAAACGGCACAACCACGATTAGAAGTGGAGAGAACAGTTACACTTAAACGAGTGTTCACAAAAATCTTTCACAAAATCAAAAGTAACAGGACATTAACATTTGATGAAAGGATCTTTCTGTTTGCGTGTCATTCATACTGGATGCCCAAACTGATGCAGTGAGCAGATTTACTTGTCTCGCCGTCGATTAGGACAGATGACATTTTCCTCCTCTCTGCACTGCTGCTCTGTGACGGATCATTACATCTGCATTTTGTGTCACATACGGCTCTACTACACTGTGATTTACAAGATGCAACAGCCTCACGAACGGCGTCAAATGTCAGATCCACTGAACTGTGGAGTCATCACCGCCAGCTCTCCAACTGCGACGAGGAGCTTTAACTCATTTCTGCCTCCCCATGTGGAAGTATATCTGAAATTATTGTCAAATTTGGCTGTAAACTAAGTGTAACAGCAGAGTAAAACCCTCCTGGGAGCCTGTCATAGTTGTAAAGGCAGAAATTTCAGAGGTCAGTAGCAAAGTGGAGAATGTGAAGTTTACCCAGAACAATGACTTTGGAATTGGCCTTGACGTGGTTTACAGGTTGAAGAATTGACTTGGACTTGATTAAAATGATTTCATGCTTGACAAAGACTTGCTCTAAAAGACTAGAGGCAGGACTTTGATTTACTCTCACACACTTGAAACTTGAGATTTGTCTTATATGACAAGAAACTTAATTTTTTACCTATTTGCAAAGACTTTATACTTGACCCAAGTCTTAAATACCAATCTAGGAGGCTTGTCACTGAAGGGGGACCCGCCTGAAGGATTTAGATGTGCTTAAAACTGGACTTGGATTTATCATCAAGACTTGAGACTTGACAAAAATAACATCCAAGTGGACCCCGACCTTGGGGACTTGAGCCATAACTTGGACTTTCTCAGATACTTCAGGCATTGAGTTGCCATCAAGGATTTGGAACTTGACTTGGATTCCCAACGGACTCAAAACTGACTAAAACTTGTCTCAAATAGTCTCCAACTTGACTTGAATTTATTATTGAGACTTGACACAAATACTGTCCATGTGGACCTCGACCTTCGGGACTTGAGGCATAACTTGGACATTATCAGGTACTTGGAGTTGCCATCAAGGGTTTGAAACTTGACTTGGATTCCCAATGAAGACTTGAGACTCGATACAAATAACATTCCACTGGACTCGACCTTTGGAACTTTAAGTATACCTTGGACTTTCTCGAGTACTTTTAGTTGCCATCAAGTATTTGGAACTTGACTTGGATTTCCAATGAAGGACTCAAAATTGACTTGAAACTTTTCTCAGATAGCGTCCAACTTGACTTGGATTCACGTCTGAGTTCTGTGTTGCTGCTACACTGTGATTTCCAAACTGCAACAACCTCACGAACGGCCTCAAATGTCAAATCCACTGAACTGTGGAGTCATCACCACCAGCTCCCCGACTGTGATGAGGAGTTTTAACTCATTTCTGCCTCCACATGTGGAAGCGTATCCGAAATTATAGTCAAATTTGGCTGTAAAGTGAGTTTAATCTCCTCGGTGAGCAGCCACCAGCAGTAAGTTTCAGCTTTAGATAACAGTGAAGTAAAACCCTCCTGGGAGCCAGTAATAATAAAGACAGAAATCCGAGAGGTCAAGAGCAAAGTGGAGAATGTGAAGTGTACCCAGAAGAGACGAGTTTGGAAATTACAGCCGCTCTGAGAGGCAGCGAAGCCACCGTCCCGACCTGAAGCCGCGAGGATAATCATCGGTATCAGCCTTGATTAGTCGCCGGCTCACAGGAAGTTCTTGCTCTGTCTCCGTCTGCCTCGGCGGCTCTGAAAATCTCTGACCTTTTTAATCTGCGTCTGCAGGTTTCAAATGAGTTTCTGATGGATTCTAATTACCAGACTGGAATGGGAACGAGACTCTTAATTCCACGTACGAATTAGCCTCCGCTCCGGAAAGGCCCGAGCTGTCCCGGATAATGATGATGCAGATGTCCAAAGGGCAGCGCAGATCTGCTCACTCTGTTACGTAACATCAGTCTGGGACAGTCGGGGCGCTCAGAGGTGATCTGTCATCCAGAGCTAGAAACCAACTGTGCCTCAGTTATTGTCCTCCTGCATTGACAAAAAATGAGTTAGAGTTTGTTCTCAGTTTAATGTGAGTTTTATGTGCAGAGAGGGAAAATAATAGTGGAAAGAATCCGTCACAAGAAAGTTTCTTCTGTCAGAAACTGGTTCGCATATTTAACTGTATGTTTCCCAAACAGTTTCTGGATGTTTTCTTTTGCTCCTGTCACAGTTTTAATCACTGTACGCTCTGACAGATGGAGTTATTTGGATTTATTTGAAGACAACGTGCCTTTTAAACTCGCCGTTGAGTTTTGAGGTTCCGAGGGTTAACGTCCTCTGAGGATTTATCACAATAACTGTGAACTTTCTGATCAAGTTTCATCATCAGATCAGAGCCCTTTATTGTCAAGTGAAGCAGTTTGACCTCCTCTATACCAGCTGAGACAGCATCAAACCTCACATTCTTTTATGTCATTTTCTTTCTACAAAACAACCGAATGACAAAAAAGTAATTAGAAATAATCTCCACCACAGTTCAGTTTTTGGAAAGTAACATCTGAGCAGAGGCAAAGTAAATAAACCAAAGTACTTCTTACAAATCAGTCCAGTTCCATATGACCAAAAAGCAATAACTTCACATCAGGTTTCACTTCATTTCAATTCAGTTCGTCCAACAACAACAAACAAAACTCAATTTTGTGTTTCCACGGTTATCAAATAAGACAATCTTGAAGAAGGTAGCATTCTCGTCCTCAGTTTAGTTCTCTTTTTCCACAAAAAAAAGCATTCAGAAACCAAGAGATCTCCAGTTAAGGAGGAATAATAATTCAATACAGTTTCCTCCCATTGTGGCTCTGATATTTCCAATAAATCTCCCCTCCACCGTTATAAAAAGATATGTCTACAATCAGCATTTTATGGTGAGATGTATGTAAAAGCATCATTCTGTAATGCATTTTTTCCTGGATATATATGGTAATATGAAAAAATCTGCAAGTATTATCCTACAAATGATGGAAGATCGCATCGCAAAGATTGTTCTGAAGTAAACAAGACACAGCATCTATGGCTAGTCCTTTTTATGTCTAAGATAAGAGCGAGTAAAAGGACTGAAATTACCCTAAAAGCCAAAAGCTCAGGATAAAGACAGTCTTTTCTCTGCTACAGTCATAATGTTTCTCTGGTTTACATGCATAGAAAAAGGGACAGTAAGAAAAAGAGAGAAACTTTCTATGCTGTGACTGATTGATACTCAGGAAGTTTCAGAAATTGACGGCTGCAGCTGCACAGTTCCAACGTGGGAAACCTGGTCGTCTTTGCGCCTCATTTACAGCATTTTTACACATCTGTGGCTGTCGGTACTGTAAAATGAACCATTATAACCGATAATGAATTCATTTCACTTGTACTTTTCCACTTGGAGAACATTTTTCCTGAGAGAAGTGGGGATTTAAATGATTGGCGCCATTAGCTTAGGTGATTATTGTACTTGTCTTTGAGGCTGGGTTGAAATTTCTCTTCCAAATTCCCCCGGCAAAGATAAATATTCACAATTTGCATGCAAGTATATAACTTTCCCCACCTCCTCCCAGGTCCAAGTTGACCCAGATCGTGGTGGACGTCTCGGCCGGGCCCTACAAGGACCGGACGGTGATGTTCCTGGGCTCGGACGACGGACGAGTCCTGAAGGTTTTGGCGAGCACGCATCCAAACGACAGCTTCGGATCCAAGCTGCTGGAGGACATCGACGTCTACAACCCGTCCAAGTAGGACTCCTGTCGTCCCTTGTCCCACTGCTGCCACTTTGTCATCTTATGTCCATGTGGTAATGTTCTGTTTTCTGTCCAGGTGTAACGTTCAGGGCCAGGAGGACAGGAGGGTTCTGGGTTTGGAGCTGGATAAGGACCATCACGCCTTGTTCGTCGCCTTCAGCAGCTGCGTGATCCGAGTGCCGCTCAGCCGCTGCACCCAACACGGAGCCTGCAAAAAGTAAGAACACAGACCTTTCATAATTAAAATCACTCCTTTTTATTCCAAATTCTTCCTGCAATCACCCAGATATTCTCGGCACATTCAGATACAGAAGCTATTTCCAGCTTGAATTTCCTGAATTCCGACTAAACACCCCAATTTTGTTAATTCTGGAAAGCATCCAAAAACTAGAAACGGGTGGGGGGAGGGAATCTTTTTAAACATTAAAATATGGAGCTTAATTTGGCAACATAATCAATATTGTAGGAGCGAGTGTGTACCCGGGGAAATGTGGGTGCCGAGGCTGAATAGTTAAATATGAACAAAAAAGAAGCGTATTTATAGACGTCATTAGACTGAGCTCACTGCCCAAATTAGAGCACATTCATCACTCGAGAGGCGTCCGCGCACACACACACACACGGTCGCTAATCAGGCTCATTTTAATTACTGAGTAGGATGAATGAATGCCAGCCAGAGTGATGTGGTAACACAGCTGCGGCAGTACAGGGAGGATTCCACCAGCTGTGTGCACATCACGCGAAGACATTGACAAAGATGTTCGACTGGGAAGACATGTCGCCACGTCCATCCTAAACCGGGAGCAGAGCTGTAAGAACGGGCTCGAATGAAGGCTTCAGGCAGGAATCGGACTTGGCTGTTGTCTGTGTTGACTTGCACTCGGACTGACTCCCCAAAGATTTGAGTGGAAAAGCAAATATTGAAATGACTTGTTCTCAATTGCAAAAAACAGCAACTATTGGTAATATTGAAAGGAAAATGTTCGAGTCACACCAGATGTTATTTTGATTTTCAGCATTCAGGGACCCTAAAAGACTTGTGTACTTCCCTTGAGCAGATTCAGGCCTGACTTGGACCTCTAGTCTTCAAAGACTTTCCTGAAGTGATGAGGGTCATCACTTCAGAACTGCATTGCTCTTCTAGACTTCTAGACAGAGATGTCCAAGATGTGTCACCAAGGACTTGAGAGCTGACTTGGACTTGAGTGCTCTGTACATTGACTTACATTCAGCCAGACTCCTAAAAGACTTGACAAGCAAAGCAAATATTGAAATGACTTGGTCTCAATAATGAAAAACAACCTCTATCAACAGTTTTGAAAGGAAAAAATATTCAACTCATGCCATATTAGAGACCTGAAAGACTTGTGTACCTCATGTTAGTAGATTCAGACATGACTTGGGCTCCTAACATGACACGAGACATCATTTGGACTCTGTGCCTTGAGAGCTGACTTGCTCTTATAGACTTTCTGTGACACAGATTTAACTTCAGACTTGCCATCAAGAACTTAAGACGTCGCTTGGATTCCTCATTGACTCAACATGTGGCCAAGATTGGTCCGAGTGTCTTCAGAGCTGGCTTAGACTTGCTTTTATAGTCTTATTCTCAAAAAACTCGAGAGATTTCCTCGATGTGTCAGTGAGAACTTGGACTTGACTGTTGTGTACGTTGACTTTCATTCAGCACGACTTGAGAAGCAACACATGCATTGAAACGACTCGATATCAGCTATGAAAAACAGCCTCCTTATCTACATACTATAGATGTTTAACTACTTACATTATTAGTCTGTTTCCACACTTGTCTCATTTTCATCTCTTAACTGCTGGTCACAGCTGAGTCACCGATAGCTTCTCTCTGGGCAGAGCAGAATATTTTTTGTTTTTCACATAATCTGGTTAAAACAAACTGTTTATTTTTGGCAAAATTTTAAATTCAACATCTAGAATAAAGTGATTTTAATGAAACATGATGATTTTAAGCTCATTTTTCCGACTAAACAGCACGTCATGGTTCAAAACCTGCCAAATCTCCCTGTTTTACAGTTTCTGGCTGATAAATGGTGCAATTGCGGACAATTTTGTAAAAACAACAAGTCTTTTCTTGCTGGGGTTCAGACGGTTAACTTGACTTGTGTTTGGAAACTCGGACTTGACTCCGCAACCTGTTCTGTTTCATTAATCGATAAAGGTCAAGCCCTTGTTGCCAAAACGCATCCCCAGGACTGTTATTGTAATTTTAAAAGTCACTAATAAACACCTAAATCTAAATCTGAAAACTGCTGCTCCTCACTGACCTGCATTAAATCCCTGTAGACGTACCTTAACCCGGACCTGGTGATTTACAATACGGAGACTTTGCTTGTTGACTGTTCACAGTGTGACTGTGAGACAACCCAACTACACACACACACAGACACACACACAGCGGTTTTGGCTGGCCTGAGTGTGAACTGTGTGTCTGGCATCATGTGAATTGTGTGACTGGCAGAGTGTGAATAGAACCGAGCCGGTAATGGATGAGTGTGTCGGTCCGAGGCGGCGGCCATTGTTTCCGTCGCTGCAGGTTTCCTTCCATCTGCGGCAGCTACCTGAGGACAGCCGAGCCGACAGGTGTGCAGGTGCGCGTGTCTTGTGTGTTTACACTGGGAGAGATAAACCGGGTTTGTGTGACAGCTCGGTGTATGTAAACAGTGCAGATGTCAGATTATGGATGTCCACTTAATCTCACAGCCGACAGCTCTCTGTCTATGAATGCGTCTGCGTGTTTGCAGAGGGCTGTTTGAGGAGGAGCAGCACAATACGGGATAAAACTGCAATATATACGACTGTTTGGAAAGAGGTAATTATTCCAGAATGTTTGGGCTCATTCTGCTGGCGAGTTTATCTGATTTGAAAATTAAAAATAGTTTCAGAAAAGCTTAAAAAAGGGCTTTTTGGAATCTTTTTCGTATGGTGTAACACTGGAAAAGGCTTCTGAAATAGCTTTTTACTTTGGATGTCATTCAGATCAGGCTGTGCATTCGTCATACGGAGCTTTGTGACGCTGATTTAAATGGTCAAAGTCATAAGTTGTGTTGTGTTGTGTGGCCATGATACGTGCAACATCATCCTTTCTGCAGCTGAAATGTTTCCACTTGTAACCAAGTCTTTCTTTTCAGTGTTTCTCTCCTGTCGGTTGCTCATTTTGCTTTGCACATGTGGAGGATGAAGGTCAGCAAACTCTGTGTCTGTTCACTAAATTAAAACAACAAAAACAACTCAGAGGCGCAGACAATATGACAAAAATTCACATCAAAGTTCTTTCAATGAAACTGGATGACTGAATTTTATACAACAATGATGCTTTTGAACAACTAAAGGGACTATTTTTTGTAATGTTTTTTTTTGTTTTTTTTCATCAATAAACCTGACTGATTCATGATTTAAAAAACAAACAAAAATCCGATTTTCTACTAGATTAAGGTGGTACATTTGAAAAAACTAAGAAAAAAAATACAAATTTATAATAAAAGAAAATTAAAATGTGTAAATATAAATCAGCTTACCCCTGAAAATAATATATCATTATTCACAAGAAAGAAACGTGGAGTTTAGTGTGGAACATTTAGGAGAAGTACTCACAAACCTCCAGTAAAACTGTTAAATTTATAAGTAAAACATTTTTTGGATCAAAATATTTAGAAAAACTAACAAATCTACGACAAAGAACTTAGATATTATTCGAGGTTTTAGTGATGATTTTACAAGACAAAAATCACAAAGTTGCAAGAAAAAAAAAGTAATATTTTCAAAATTAAAACTATAAATTTTTGAGAAAAAAAACTTACAAATTAAAAAAAAAAAGAGAGAGAGAGAGAGATCCTCTGGGATTAAAGTGGGAAAATTTCAAGAAAAACAAAAATTACAAGAGAGATACTCAAATATTTCCTGCGATAAAGGCAAAAAAATAAAAAATTACAATGAAAAAAATCAGATATTCTTTGCCAATAAAGCAGTAAATTTCCAGATATTTTCTCTGATACTGAAGTTTCATCAAAAATGCACACATTTATAAAAAAAAAAGCAAAGGATATTGCCTGAGATGAAAAGGGTCAATTTACAACAAAAAAGTGACACTCTTGAGATTATCGTGCTCATTTTATTTATTTATTAAATATTACACATTTATGAGAAATAACACACAAAAACATCACATTTGTTCTTGTAACAGGACGCTGTGACATTTCTATTTTACATCTTTATCCTACGCAGACATCATCTTTCTCTCCCTTCTCTATAAATCAGAATATTACCTCCTTCGTCCAGCTCCATAAAATGCTAAAAATGCTGTTTTAACCTACAACAGCTCTGATATTATGTTGTGCAATTGTATTTGTGACCTTTTAAAGTACTGCATTCGATACCGACACCTTTATATTTCATGCATTCCATTAGAAAAGGTGAACAAACTGCAATATGATCATTTTACGGCACTTCTAGGTGGAAATATCTGCACGAGGCCACCTCAGTGTTGACCGAGCTAACAGAGAACCAAAGTCGATTTGGGAAAGATAATGAGGACAGTCATGGTCACATGAAGCAGATGAAGTTTTATTTGAGGACTTCTGATCCATGAGGTGAAGCAGATAAAACTGAATAAACGATAACCCTCCTGTGTCCCTCCAGAGCCTGCCTGGCCTCTCGTGACCCGTACTGCATCTGGCTTCGGACCGGGAGTTGTGCCAACATGGCGCCGGGTTTCAAGTAGGTGTCATTTCCTTTTTCTGTCTCTTTCTCTGCCTCTTGTTCTTTTTTCCTCCCTCCCTCCTTCCTCTCAACCATCATCAATCCGACAGCTAATAAAGCTCTGACGGCTCGGCTCGTATATCTGCCGCGGCGGCTGAAGGGTCGTATATCTGAGAGATGTAAATCCATGATGCCTTTCACGCTCGCAGCCAAAAACGATGGATGGGGAAACATAATGGGAACAAATGTTAAAATGGATGTCAGTGGGAATGTACTGTGTGCACTTTGGTGGCATAAATCTCTTTTGGTAAAACTTTGTTGAGTCCCAATCAAACTCTGTTTGTTCTCTGCGTGCAGTAAACATCCTGCAGTTTGTCCTGGTGGCAGCGACGTGGACGGAAAACGCCACGAATGCTGTTTGTTTTTTTTTTCCTTTAGACCTGCACTTATTTAGCTAAAGGCGTAGGATTAAAGAAAATACAATAAAAAGGAATACAAATGGAAATATAAGACATCTTCTGTAACTGATAGACTGCTGTGATTCAAACACGTCTGTGAGCCAAGTTTTACGCCTCATCAGTTGACTCAAGATGTCTTGTGCGTCTTTTCATTATCGTTAAATCTGTTGATTATATTTTGACTTGCTATCATATAAAACTACAAAAAATGTAGCTAAACTGAAGCTCACATCTTCAGATATGTTGTGTTGTTCAACCAAAACCCCCAAAATCTTCAAAAAGCATCACGTCTTCTCCTCCGAGACCCTAAAATCAGACCTTTTTCACCATGTTGGCTTGAAAATGAACTGAAAATATTGTGATTTTTCAGACTTTCCTCTAAAAATTATGCATCACAAGTCGCTGTATCTCGAGTTTGGAAACTTTGGGATCTCCAGATTTCCGTTTGGACAACCGACAAGAGTTTGTAAAAAAAGAAATCCTTTGCTGCAGGTTGTATTTTATTTGCAGCAGAAGCAAACCGTTGATCTTGATGCAAAACCAACAAATGACCAAGAACTGCATTTGCACTGCCTCATCGGAGTGAAACTTCCACCTGTTTGCACCATACATGCTGCACCGGGTACCGAATGTCACCTCTTATTTACTTTCTGCCTCAAAATTTGTGCACTCCGGTTAGTTTAATTACATAAAAGCTGCGTATAAACTCAGTGGAGTCACATCCACTCATGGAGAAAATCTGTCACTGTGCTGCTAATAGGTGGTTTGCTATTTAAAGCAGGTTGTTGACTCTGTTTGACCAAGTAAACAAGACATCCATTAGGCCCTCCATCTTTTTCAGAGTTGTGATATGAGGGGGGGAAAAAAACAAACTGACATCTGAATATTTTGTTTTTCTGCAATATGAAACAAACTTCTGACTAAATGTAACATGTGCAGCCTTCATCATCTTCATTATTCGTAATACAAACTTGAGGCCTTGAGGCCTGCTGTCGTGTTCTCACTGTATGGTTATGAGGAAAAACGCCCAAAACATTGACTTTTCAGTTGTTAGTCCTCATTAATAAATTGGACAGATAGACTTAAGTAGCCCTCCATCATCCAGCTCTAACAGAAGTTTACTGTAGCTGCATAATTTTCCACTTTGACAGCTCAGTTTCAACTTGCAGCTCTGTGATGACAACTTGAGAAAAAAATATTACAAGCCACCTATCAAGTGGGGCTGCAAGGTGGCGCAGTGGTTAGCACCGTCACCTCACAACAAGAAGATCCCTGGTTCGCGTCCCAATGAGGAGTGTTTGCATGCTCTCCCCGTGCAGTGTGGGTTCTCTCCGGGTTCTCCAGCTTCCTCCCACACAGTCCAAAAACATGTTGAGGTTAATTGGTGATTCTAAATTGTCCGTAGATGTGAGTGTGCTTGGTTGTCTGTCTCTAAGTGTAGCCCTGTGATAGACTGGTGACCTGTCCAGGGTGTCCCCTGCCTTCACCCTGAGTCAGCTGGGATAGACTCCAGCCCCCCTGCGACCCCAGTGAGGATTAAGTGGTGTATAGATAATGGATGGATGGATGAACTTCTCAAGTGACCGGATCATGTTTTCACAACCCTCTGTTGTAACTGTGTAAATCGGTGTTGTGTCTTTCCAGGTAAAAAGTTCACTAACTCTGTGGAACCTTTGTCACACAATGTGACTCTGACAAAGACATCCAAAATAGTTTTTTATCTTTGGATGACACTCAGATATGGTTTCAACTCGCAGGGCTTTGTGGCGCTGATTGCAATCAGTGAGACACTTTCACACCAAAACCATCCGTTTGTAGTTGAGACATTTGTGTGATTGATTTATTTTTGCCACCTTGTCTTCCTTCTCAGTGTCTTTCTCCTGGTTGTTGCTCATTCTACTGGTCAGATCAACAAAATCCTTGACATTTGTAGTAAACGGTGTTCTATCAGACAGACTTCTCTTGTAGGTCAGTCATTGGAAACGAGAACCGTGTGAGTTTTCTTTTTCTGTTAAGCAGCAACAAAAGCTGTAGCTTGATGCGTTTGAGTTTAGTTTCCTCACTTCACATCACAGTGTTGATGCTGAAATTATATATATTGTAGTCAGTGGTGTTTTCCACTTCCTCATGGGGGATCCTGAGATGTTCCTGGGCCAGATGAGATATATATAATTCTTCTAGAGAGTCCTGAGTCTACCTCGGGGTCTCCTCCCAGTTGGACAGGCTTGGAAAATCCCAAACCTCCTCGGCTGGATCCTCAAGACAGAGCATCAACTCTCTGGACATTGGAGCTACAGAGGAAACTCATTCTGTCCACTTGTATCTTGTTCTTTCGGTCTCTACCCAGAGCTCGTGGCTACAGGTGAGGGTTCTCGGCTCCCTGTGAAACGCAACACTCTGGTACAACACCTGCATTCCTGCTGACGCTGCTCTAATCCATCTTTCCATTTCACGCTCCATTTTCACGTCTCTCGTGAACAAGGACGGCGTCCACGCTGGAGGTTTCAAGACAAAGATCAGATAGGATTTAAAGTGACTGGGTTCCCTCCGGAGTCTCCGAGCAGACGGCCGAGCGCTCGGCTGGTCTCCGATCACTGATCTGTGCTGCTGATCTGCAGATCGCACAAGCCGACGTCCCCGCGGTGTCGCTGTGGGCGACACGCTTCATTTCAGAGCCGGCGACAGATGCTGCAGCAGCTGAACTGGGATGTTTAGGAAAAGTTTCTGGACTCTGGAGAAACAGCAGCACGGTGACGCGTGTAGCCTCAAGGACGAGCGTCCCTCCTGCTGCTTTAGGACCGAGTTTATATGTCATTTATAGCATCACCCTTAATAATAGTTACTAAACATTGGTTCTCAGCTTTGAGTTTCAGTTTTTCTTTGAGATAAATCAAACATTTAGACTTTCTCTGAGAAACTGTGAATGATTTTCTTTCACTATTTTTGAACATTTTATTCACTACATCATCCAGAATATGCTCTTCTCGGTTGTTAGTTGCGGCCCTGGTTGTAATGTGCAAGTACAAAATTAATGACATGATTAAAGAGCATTAAATAGGATGCTCCGAAAGATCTCCGCAAACTGAAGAGCAGCTCTAATCTCTGAGGCGGTGTGTAATGCACAGACCTCTTACATCTTCTTTTAGCTCTTGTGGTCCTGTTTTACAGTTTTAGTGATGTTTCATCTTAAATACTCTCAAGTCGCAGCAGCATCCTCTGATCCTCCTCGTCGTTTCATCTGCGCTCGCCGCTTGTTTCGGCCTCATTATGAGTCACTCCGGCTGAAACCCAGACAAGATATCTGAACATAGACGCGGCCGTGACGACGACGCGAATCTCTGCAGCGGGGAGAGAAAAACGACTCGGCGTGTCTGTCAGCCTGCCGCAGTTTATAACTGATGGTATTTACAGACGAGGAGGAGACAAATATGAAAATAATATCACTTCGATTTGCGGGGGGAGCGCAGGAACAGCCGACGCCGCGGCCGCAGATCGATTATCATGAAGTGTTGTGGAGTGGGCGCGAGCTACCTGACACTTGGGAGTTATTGATTGGAAGGTGGCGCGAGGGAACACATTGGATTTTCAGGAGCTACCAGCTGCTGCAGCGTTTGTGTGTTTGTGTGTGCGTTTCGAAAAAAGCCTCATCTTGCCTCGGCATATTGATGGACTCGAGCGCAGAAGCACGGGGGATTTCATCTTCAGGCTCGACTCCCGTGTCTTGAATTTAGAGTGAAACTAAAAAGCTTTCGGGAGTTTAAAGAAGCACTTAGAGGAGAGTCTCTGCAGGTTTCTGCCCGTTAACTACAAACCACCTACACTCAGAATCAGGGGTGTAACAGCCGAATCTGTTCCTCTGTTTTGGGGTCGAGGTTTGGGAGATTTTTTTTGGCTCAGCAGGAAAAACAAAAGGAATAATTTAGATGCTTCTTGTGATGCTGAATTATCAGCGTGCGCTTCCTACTTGCACGCACAGGTCAGATCATATTCGATGCATTATTTGTTCTCCCTGCAGTTGTTCATAATAATCAGGGGCCTCGACAGCTTCGGCTCAGGAAGAATAAAGTGCAACAGACTCCAGCTGCAGCACATGCGATAAACCCTCAGCTTCTCTGCAGAGCTGACAGGAGGCTTGTAGACGAGCCGAGGTCATCCTCAGAGCTGCTGTTGAGCATTTTTACTCTGACAATCAACTCCAGCGAATGTCTCCTCCAGACATGAAGGATCCACACCAGGATTTAACCAGAACCGCCATCTTTCTCTAACCTTTGCAAAAATGGTTTTAGTTGAATAAATCTGATGCAGGATGCAGAACGTAAGGTCCAGTCTGTGGTGTCTGTGCACAACAACAACAACAACATGAATTCAGCTTTTAGCAGTTAAATAATGAGTCCATTTCTTCGAGACAGTCTGTTCATGTACAACTCGTCTGCCACACCAAATACAATTGAAGGAACCGTGACTGGATTTCTATCAGCACAATGAGGACATTTTGTCAACTTGTGTATTTGTCAGGTTGCAGATCCTGCGATGCTGCACATACTCGACCAGACAACACGT